TGCAGGGGATACGGGTTCACGCCCCGGTCCGGGAAGATCCCACATGCCGCAGAGCGGCTGGGCCTGTGAGCCATGGCCGCTGAGCCGGCGCGTCCGGAGCCTGTGCTCCGCAACAGGAGAGGCCACAACAGTGAGAGGCCTGCATACCGCAAAAAACAAAACAAAACAAACACTGTTTCTCAGCTTGCATTGTGGGTCTCGTGGACACAAGCCCCATTGGCTTTCGAAGCTAGTTGTTTTGGGGGCTTATCTTTCAGGTGCAGCTCTTAAAAGTTGGGGTGTCAGATGTGTGGTTCAAATCTTTCTCTCCTCAAGGAAAAGCTCAAGGTTTTTAGTTCCCTCCCAACTGTGAGTCACCATGCTGGGGGTGGGGTTTATAGCAAGATTGTGTCTCAGCCTCTACTACCCACTTTCATATGGATATTTTCTCTTTCACTCAATGTGTAGGAGTTGCTCAGGTAGTTTGGGTTTTTTTTTCAGAGGAAATTGTTTCATACTTAGCTGAAGATTTGGTGTGTCTGTGGGAGGAGATAAGTTCACAATCCTCCTACATTGCCATCTTGAACCTCCCACTAGACATATTTTTTAAAATATCCACTATGTCTCATTATCCCAATTAGAACAAGTAGACTCTAAAATTCATTTGGAGGTCCATGAAGTGGAGGGAGCTCCCAGGAATGGCTGTTGCCAGAGTCTATGTCCCCAGGGTGAGCTGCAGCCACCTCCTGCCTCTCTGGGAGACTCTCCAAGACCAGCAGATACAAGGAAAATGTTTTAAAAGATTTACAGCGGGCTTCACTGGTGGCGCAGTGGTTGAGAGTCCACCTGCCGATGCAGGGGACATGGGTTCGTGCCCCGGTCTGGGAAGATCCCACGTGCCATGGAGCGGCTAGGCCTGTGAGCCATGGCCGCTGAGCCTGTGCGTCCGTAGCCTGTGCTCCGCAACGGCAGAGGCCCCAACAGTGAGAGGCCCGTGTACCGCAAAAAAAAAAAAAAATTTACAGCAATTTGTAAATTATACCTAGGTAAGCAGAATTGAATCATTTATCTTTTTCTCCCTACTTGATCCATCCAGAATTCAGAAACTCTCGGGAACAAAATCTCTACTCCCAGAGGAAGATATCAAGTAAGATGTCAGCCTCCACACACATCCACAATTCTCAAAGGTTTAGTGGAATTTCCTGGATTAGGAAAAGAAAGGGACTCCTTTTGCCCAAGTCAAGGAAACTTCTGTGGTGACAGCTGAAGTGCCAGCTAGTTTTGCTATGCTCAAAGCTGAACTCCTCTCTCTGCCTATTTTTGAAAAAGGCCTGAGTCTGAGCTATGACAGATTCTCTGGATTTCCTGGCACATGGACTGAGCTGCACCCTCCCATCCTGCCAGATCCCTTGTACAAAGACCTCAACCTTAAGAGTTCTTTTACCTTATCCAGGAAATAAACAAACAATATCCCCTTCCCCTAATACCAAATAAACAAACAGAAATATTAAAATAAAATAAAACTCAGGGCTTCCCTGGTGGCACAGTGGTTGAGAGTCCGCCTGCCAATGCAGGGGACGCGGGTTCATGCCCCGGTCTGGGAAGATCCCACATGCCGCGGAGCGGCTGGGCCCGTGAGCCATGGCCGCTAAGCCTGCGTGTCCGGAGCCTGTGCTCCACAATGGGAGAGGCCACAACAGTGAGAGGCCCGCGTACCGCAAAAAAATACTAATAATAAAAAAATAATAAAACTCATATGGAAATGCAAAGGATTCAGAATAGCAAGAAGAAATTTGAAAAAGAAGTACAAAGTTGAAGGACTGCATTATATGATTTCAAGACATATTATAAAATTATATTAAGACTAAGATATTTGCAAAAATATAGATGAAAAAAGTACAGAAAAAGAGTAGCACATATAAGAGCAACTGATTTTTGAGAAATGTGTAAAGGCAATTTAATGGAGAAAAGATAGTTCTTTCAACAAATGTTGTGAAGCAACCGAATATCTTTTTTTTTTTTAAAGAACTCTGACTCCAAACCTCACACAGTGCATTATAATTGACTCAAAATGGATTATAAACCTAAAACTGAAAACCTCCATTAGGAAGTATAGGAGAGAATCTTCTTACCATGGGTTAGACAAAGACTTTTTACATACAATCCAAACACATGTTCAATAAAATGAAAAAAACAATATATTGGACTTTATCAACGTTACAATTTTCTGCTGTAGGAAAAACTGTTAAGAGAATAAAAAACCAAGCCACAGGCTAGAAAACTGTACTGGCAAATCTCATACCTAATTAAGGACTTGAATCTAGAATTTAAGAAATCTGAAAAACCGGTAATATGTCAGAAAAAGATTTTAATAGGCAAAAGATCTGAACAGACACTTAACCAAAGAAAATAGAGGGATGCTAGTAAGCACATGTAAAAATTCTAAACACTGGCCATTAGGGAAATACAAAATAAAGTCACAGAGAAATACCACTACACACCTAAGGGAAATGGCTACAATTAAAAACACTGACCACACCAAGTGTTGGTAAGAATATAGAGCAAATAAAACTCTCATACACTGCGGGTGGGAATGTAAAATGGTATAACCACCTTGGAACAGTTTGTCAGCTTATAGAAAGATACACATCCACTTTCTCTTTGACTCAGTGTATTTATCATGTTCTTTATTTTCTATATTTTTTGATGTTTTGACATCTTAAAAAGCTTGCTGGAGAGACCACCCCTCCCAGGACTATCCCATTCTGGAGACAGCAAAGGGTTTAGCCAGAAGTACGTCTCTAATATACAAACCAACCGATCCAAATCTACAGCCCCAACCACCAAGTCACACACAAAGCCAATATTTCCCCTGCCCTAAATCAACACAAGGCCAGGTACCAGACAATCTGAAACCAGTTCTCTAGTCCAAAACCTGCTGTCATTATTCAAACTAGCCAATCCTAAGCTGTTTACTCTGCCTTGCTTCTCCCAGGAAAACCCCAATAAAGGCTGTGGCCTCTGCCTTCCCCTCACTCTCTTCTGCCTCCTGACCAACAGTGGTGATCTCCATGCAGCCCTATGTGTCCTTTCCCTTGGGAAATGTAATAAAATCTTCTTTCAATGGTATTAACATCTCTGTGTTAGCACTCAGTCACTGCATAAATTAAAATGCTGTGGGCACAAATGAGACATTCAAGCCTTTTACTCCTAAGTATTGGAACATGAACAAAAAAAAAAAGAACAAAGAGCATCACTCATCATCCAGTTACACAGGGGTTAAGCCACAACCCACTGCAGTCACCACCAGCAGTGTACCTTGAGGGGAATTCAGGATGAAAAAACAGGATGAGTCACTCTTTGCTTTGGATAAATGGTCCCCTAGATAATTAGATGCATATCTCAGGAAGAACTTTAGTGACCCCAGATTCTTGCATCTTCTCATACACAGAAAAGTACTAAAATAATTAACTTGAGATATCTGTTCTTTGTGATTAGCAGTAATCTTTTACCAAGATGTATGCTTGACTACACGTATTTCCTAGCCAAAAAATTCATATATATACTGGCTCCTCCCCTACGTTTTTGGAGCAGTTTCTCAGAGCTGTCTCCTAGGCTATAGTCCTCAGTAAGACCCTGAATAAAACTTAAACTCACAACTCTTGTTGACAAACCCAAGAGAAAGCCTAGTACGTGAATGTCCATAGCAGCATTATTTGCAGTTAACTCCAAACTAGTATCAATCCAAATGTCCATTAAAAGATGAATAGAAAAACAAATTGTGATATATCCATACAAGTAAATACTACTCTCTAATGAAGCAAATAAAGTACCCATACATGCAACATGGAGAAATCTGAAAATAATTATGATATGTGAAGGAAAAAAAGGCAAAAAAGAGTAAACATCTTGTTATTCCATTTATACAATATTCTAGAATTGGAAGTTTTTAGTGAAAGACATGAGAATGGGGAGCTAGGGCGGGAGGACAGGACGGATTATAAAGGAGGATAAGGTAACCTGGAGGGTGATGAATTTGTTAAATATCATTAAGTCATATATGTATAATGCCCATACATGACAAAACATCACATTTTACACTTTAAATGTACACAGTTTAATGCCCATCAATTATATCTCAATCGAGCTTTCAAAAAATCTGGATCTCCTGCTTCTCTTGAAGAACTGGGATATTTGACAAACACATTGACTTGACCATAACTATTCTCAGCCCTCTGGTGGGACACCCCTACTTCAATGGAAGGAAAGAATAGCAAGCAATAAAGATTGTGAGTCACAAAAGTCACATTCTTGGACTACAATCTCTCTCTTCTCTCAGTCTCCATTTTCTTGCCTGTCTAACAGTGGCTTTGAGGTAAACAGCCCAAGTAGCCCCAGGAATCCAGAAAGCTTTAAGATTATTTGCTCTGCTGGTGACCTTGTCCATAGAAGAAATGTAAATTTAGAAGTCCTGAGAATACATGCTCATCCCTCACGGCTTTAGTGAGCAGAATATTTCTGGAAGCACTTCAGATGGGGTACATCCTCTTTAGCTCGCTCCCCCCAACTCTAATCACACCCAGTGTGTGAATGTAATTATGCTTCCAATGACCTTAGACCACTCATGATTTCCTCCAGAGAAGGGGGGAGTACAGAGGTCTGCCTTCCCTGGGCATACTGGGTAACCTGATGCACATTAGCCAGCAGGCAGAGGCGAGATGGCTTCTGCCACAGGTACTGGCAGTGATTTAACTCAGGCAAGGGCCTTGAGCAGGCCAAACTGCAATATAGGTCCTGAAAGCTTCCCACATAACTGGCACTCATAGGAAATCTCCCCACTGTGGATGTTCAGATGTGTGAGATACAACTTTTGGTTGATGGCTACTTTATAAAGACTATTCTCAGAACTTCTCCCTGGTGTCATTCCCGTTGACCAAGCAAACACCCTTCACTGCAGAGGCCTTTCTCCAGTTTGAACTTTCTGGTAACAAATGAGGAAAGGCCATTAGCTTAAGGCTTTTCTACAGTGTGACTTCTCTGATGTTTAATGAGGCTGGACTTGTGGCTAAAAAATGTCCCACATTCACTGCATTCATAAGGCCATTCTCCAGTGTGTAGTCTCTGGTGTTGAACAAGTGTGGGTTTAAGGCAGAAGGGTTGCCCACATTTGTTGCACTCATAAGGCTTTTTGCCAGTGTGAACTCTCTGGTGTAAAATGAGGCTGGATCTTTGGCTAAAAAAAATTCCCATTTTATGCACTCGTATGGCTTTTCACCAGTGTGAACTCTCTGGTGTACAATAAGGCCAGAACTTTGGCTAAAGAATTTCCTACATTCAGTGCACTTACAAGGCCTTTCTCCAGTGTGGATTCTTTGGTGCCAAACAAGTGTGATTTTGTGGCTAAAGAATTTCCCACATTCACTACACTTATAAAGTCTTGCCCCAGCGTGAATTCTCTGATGTTCAGTAGGCCCAGAGCTTCGCCTAAAGTGTTTTCCACATTCACTGCATGCATAAGGTCTTTCTTTAGTGTGGATTTTCTGGTGCTGGACAAGTCTGTATTCCTGGCTAAAGGCTTGACCACATTCACTACACTCATGAGATATTTCTCCAGTGTGAATTCTCTGATGTTGAACAAGTCTGTGTGTATAGCTGAAGGCTTTCCCACCTTTGCTGCATTCATAAGACCTTATTCCACTGTGAACTCTCTGGTGTACAATAAGGCTGGAGTTATGGCTAAACAGTTTCCCATATTTGCTGCACTCATAAGGCCTTTCTCCAGCATAGACTCTCTGGTGTTGAACAAGTGTGTGTTTGCTGCTATAGGCTTTCCCACATTTGCTGCATTCATAAGGCCTTTCTCCAGTGTGAACTTTCTTATGCCAAACAAGGTGGGAACTTCTGCTGTAGGCTTTCCCACATTCACTGCGCCCATAAGGCCTTACACCCATGTGAACTCTCTGGTGTACCATAAGTCTAGAGCTGTGCCTAAAGAATTTTCCACATTCAATGCACTGATAAGGTCTTTCTCCAGTGTTAACTCTTTGGTGTTCAATGAGCTTATTTTTGTGGCTAAAGGCTTTCCCACATTCACCTATAATGCCCTTGTCCATTGTGAAAAGTCTCCCTGCATTCAGTGCTTCTAGGTGAATTCCCCTTGCTGTGAGTGGTCTGGTGCTGAAGAAGGCCCAAGCTGGGCAGGAGGTCCTTCCTACAATCCCCACACATAAAGGGATTCTCTGACATGTGGACTCTGCAATTCTTAACAAACAAAAGCCAGTCCTCAACCCTTCTGAGGTGTTTCTCTCCACTGTGCTGCTTCTGTTGCTGGTGAATGCTTACACTGAACCAGAGTTGTTTCACACATGCTGTACACATGTGCAGTTTCTGCCTGGGGTATATTCCATGCTGCTCAGACAGGTACAAAATGTCTTTCAAGACTGGGCCACACATCCCACAAGGGTAGGCCTTCTGGGTGGCTGGACCTGCCTTGGGAGTCCTGAGTTGTAACACGCCTTGAGAAAGTGCCTCCTCATCCTTCATTCAAAACCAACAATCTGAAAGCATGCAGCCTCTGGTGGGAGGGGGCAGCCCTATCACAAATGTACTTCTTACAAACCCAGGAATTAGTACATAGGACTGTTGGGAGGACAAAGGGGCCGAACTGAGGTAACAAAGGGTCTGCTGTGCAGTTCTGAGCCTGGCAAGATCATACAATGGGGAGGTCTACTATGGGCAAGGAAACAGGTGGGATGCAGTACAGGAAGAGGAGGCTGGGTCTCCCAACTCACTTCTCTGCAAATGGCTTTCAGCAGCGGCTTGTCTGCTAGTGACATGAGCACTGAACAAAAGGGGAAATCAACTGCAACCAAGTAGCTGGTGTTCATGTACTGCTTAGAATATGTCTACATCTCACCAATACATTATGTGTAGCTCAATGTTGGAGAGCCCTTCTGAGGGAGCCGTGGAGAGGAACAGGGGAGACCTGAAGGCCAGACAGGCATGGATTAGCCCTGGCCAGAAGTCAGATTAGAAATGATAAAGGGGCAAATTGTCAAGAATGGAGATTAAAAGATAGAAGTAAATTATGGCCCCTGACCTTGGCATGAAAACAACAATGGGCACTAGAGAGGTTCCTGGTGTGATGTGAACCCAGCCCTGACATGAAGCCATCCCTCAGGTCCCACCTCCCAAGGCCAGTCCCCCTCCAGGGCCCTCTTGCTATGGCTGGAGTCAGGCCTGCCCTGTCAGGCACCCACATCTCTCCCTGCAACTCCAGTTGGGCAACTACATGGAACCTGGAAGACACAAGTCCTAAGTGAAAGAAAAGGCAGGTGAGTAGGCAACACTGGTGCAGAGCAACCCACCCCATGAACACAGGGAAAAAAACTAATGTTACAAAAAGAAACCTGGAGGAGTATCTTATAGGAACAGCCCAGTGGTCCCCACAAGTAGTGACCATGTCGGTGCCTGCAATTCCTGGCAGTCAGGCATGAGGAAATGCCAGCTGGAGGGAAGGGGGCAGACCTGGGGCAGAGAGTTGCAATATATCTGGACAGTCACTCTGCCAGGGTGACCAAGTCTTTGGGATCCACTGGTTTCATTGCAGACTTCCTACTCCCATATCCTTCCCTGAAAGGCTTCAGGGATGCTGAAGGGTTGCTTGGGAGAGGATGGGAAAGTACACTCAGCCAAGCCTGGCACCCACAACACCTATGAAAGAAAACACAGGAAGGGAGCAATGTCCACAGTCTGGCTGTATGAAGGAAAGGGTGGCCCATGGAGAAACCAGGAAGGAAAGAACCCAGTCAATGACAGTCGGCTGAGTGTGAAGGACTTACCCAGTGAGGCTACAAGTGCAAAATTCTCCAACATCACATCATGGTACAGGAGTCTCTGAGTCCCATCAAGAAGCTCCCACTCCTCCTGAGACAAGTCCACAGCCACATCCTCAAAGGTTACAGTGCCCTACCATGATGGGGAAGGCAACGTCCCTGAGCAGCCTCTCTCACCAGGACCCTCAGTTAGTCCCCCAGACATCCACTCCCTGCCCCCACTCCTCTCCAGCTCCAAAACTCAGGATATACAAGGCCCAGATGCCACTGGCGCCAGCATTCTCTTTCCTATTGATCAATGTACCGTCCCACATCCACGATAGGCATGTGGGCAAATAAATGCCATCCAAGCACTGGGTATGGCATGAAAGTCTCCACCTCCACTCTTGCCAGCAAGTTCCGCAAGGGTTTCCAGATCATGCCTCCCAGACACACCAAACATGGACTCAATTTTCTTCCTTTAAGCTGCTGGGAGCAAGTCCCTGGGACCTTCAGTTCTCACTCTCCCCACTGAGCACACCACTCCACTGACAACACCTCCCCCATATTTCCAACCCCCCACCAACACTGCTACCTCCTCCACCTCAGCCCACACCAAAGGCATCTCCCTGGCCTCCCCACATGCCACTCTGCACAAGGCATCTGGAGAGTGCTTGCCAAACGCAGTTACGATCCATCCTGCCCCAGAGCCCTGATGGCCCACACTGGCAGGGGAAGCCCCTAGCCCTGCTTTAAAGGCCTCTCCACCATGCACTTTCCTTGCTTCAGCTTCAGCCAACTAGAACCACATGCAGGTGCCACATACTTTAAATTCTCTTTACTGCTGTGTTACACATGCTGTCCCTTCACCGGTCTCAGCCTTCCTCTTTCCAGTCAAGCCTCATTCAAAACCCAGAACCTCCCATCCCCCAACCCAGGCCTAGCTACTCTCCCAGCTGACCCATTTGCCCCTGAGCTTATCTGCCAGCCTAAGTGAAACCCTGCAGGCCTCACCAAAGGTCACAAAACTCTAGCGTGCTTTTAGAGGGGGGGAGTAGGCCTTGGCCTCACTGCCATCTCACCTCCATTACTGCTATGCTCCCACATCCACCTCATGTGCACTCCCCCTTGGAAGCGTTGGTCCCCTACCAGACCCACCTCTCCCCAACACCTACCTCCTCCTGCTCGGTCGCTACTCTCCCTCATCTGCATTTGTGATGTGCATCAGCCCCATTCAGGTGCTCAAGAGAGAGGGCCAGTCCTCCAATCTGGCCCTCCTCTTCCTTGTCCCCTAACAACACTGTCACCATGATCTGAAGACTCCCCCTACTAAATGACTCACAGCTCCACCCCAGTCCACACACAGGCCACCAGCTTGTGGTGTCTCCAACCTGATTTGTTCCCCTGAAATCCAGACCTGTGTCCAGCTTTCCACTCAATGCTTCCACCTGGGGGGGGGGGG